AAATCGACTGCACCAAAATTCTCGGGAAAACACTTTTTCTTATTAATTTTGGTGCGTAGAATCCAAAACAATTCGTACTTTTTCGATCAGACTTCTCAATCAAAAGTTATAGACTAGAAACCAATTTCGAAAGAAAATTCAAAGGGCTGTAACTTTTGAACTAGTAGCCCAATCTTGGAACTGTTTGAAATTATGGATTCTACAGGCCACATTCTATAAGAAAATTTTTTTTCCGGGTCGATCTGAGACAATTTTTTTTCGGGGCTCAAAAAAAGGCAGTATAACCTTCCTTTTTTACCAAAAATCGACTGCACCAAAATTTCTCGGGAAAACACTTTTTCTTATTAATTTTGGTGCGTAGAATCCAAAACAATTCGTACTTTTTCGATCAGACTTCTCAATCAAAAGTTATAGACTAGAAACCAATTCGAAAGAAAATTCAAAGGGCTGTAACTTTTGAACTAGTAGCCCAATCTTGGAACTGTTTGAAATTATGGATTCTACAGGCCACATTCTATAAGAAAATTTTTTTTCCGGGTCGATCTGAGACAATTTTTTTTTCGGGGCTCAAAAAAAGGCAGTGTATAACCTTCCTTTTTTACCAAAAATCGACTACACCAAAATTTCTCGGGAAAACACTTTTTCTTTTTAATTTTGGTGCGTAGAATCCAAATCAATTCGTACTTTTTCGATCAGACTTCTCAATCAAAAGTTATAGACTAGAAACCAATTTCGAAAAAAAATTCAAAGGGCTGGAACATTTGAACTAGTAGCCCAATCTTGGAACTGTTTGAAATTATGGATTCTACAGGCCACATTCTATAAGAAAATTTTTTTCCGGGTCGAACTGAGACACTTTTTTTTCGGGGCTCAAAAAAAGGCAGTGTATAACCTTCCTTTTTTACCAAAAATCGACTGCACCAAAATTTATCGGGAAAACACTTTTTTTTATCAATTTTGGTGCGTAGAATCCAAAACAATTCGTACTTTTTCGATCAGACTTCTCAATCAAAAGTTATAGACTAGAAACCAATTTCGAAAGAAAATTCAAAGGGCTGTAACTTTTGAACTAGTAGCCCAATCTTGGAACTGTTTGAAATTATGGATTCTACAGGCCACATTCTATAAGAAAATTTTTTTTCCGGGTCGATCTGAGACAATTTTTTTTTCGGGGCTCAAAAAAAGGCAGTGTATAACCTTCCTTTTTTTACCAAAAATCGACTGCACCAAAATTTCTCGGGAAAACACTTTTTCTTATTAATTTTGGTGCGTAGAATCCAAAACAATTCGTACTTTTTCGATCAGACTTCTCAATCAAAAGTTATAGACTAGAAACCAATTTCGAAAAAAAATTCAAAGGGCTGTAACTTTTGAACTAGTAGCCCAATCTTGGAACTGTTTGAAATTATGGATTCTACAGGCCACATTCTATAAGAAAATTTTTTTCCGGGTCGATCTGAGACAATTTTTTTTTCGGGGCTCAAAAAAAGGCAGTGTATAACCTTCCTTTTTTACCAAAAATCGACTGCACCAAAATTTCTCGGGAAAACACTTTTTCTTATTAATTTTGGTGCGTAGAATCCAAAACAATTCGTACTTTTTCGATCAGACTTCTCAATCAAAAGTTATAGACTAGAAACCAATTTCGAAAGAAAATTCAAAGGGCTGTAACTTTTGAACTAGTAGCCCAATCTTGGAACTGTTTGAAATTATGGATTCTACAGGCCACATTCTATAAGAAAATTTTTTTTCGGGTCGATCTGAGACAATTTTTTTTTCGGGGCTCAAAAAAAGGCAGTGTATAACCTTCCTTTTTTACCAAAAATCGACTGCACCAAAATTTCTCGGAAAAATACTTTTTCTTATTAATTTTGGTGCGTAGAATCCAAAACAATTCGTACTTTTTCGATCAGACTTCTCAATCAAAAGTTATAGACTAGAAACCAATTTCGAAAGAAATTTCAAAGGGCTGTAACTTTTGAACTAGTAGCCCAATCTTGGAACTGTTTGAAATTATGGATTCTACAGGCCACATTCTATAAGAAAATGTTTTTTCCGGGTCGATCTGAGACAATTTTTTTTTCGGGGCTCAAAAAAAGGCAGTGTATAACCTTCCTTTTTTACCAAAAATCGACTACACCAAAATTTCTCGGGAAAACACTTTTTCTTATTAATTTTGGTGCGTAGAATCCAAAACAATTCGTACTTTTTCGATCGGACTTCTCAATCAAAAGTTATGGACTGGAAACCAATTTCGAAAGAAAATTCAAAGGGCTGTAACTTTTGAACTAGTACTACCGGATTTGACGCATGGTCTGATGTATATAGTTACTGGACTATTTGTCGATGGGGATTGAAATTTTTCAAACCACGCTCGCAATCTGCTATTGCGAAAATCTCGTTGAACAGCCTCAACAGCCTTAACCGCCTCCCCACAATTCCAAAGATTTATTTAACAAATTTTTAATTTAATACCTAACATAATCCTATAAACTTTTATATACGTTGTCGTAATTTGAGCTTGATTCGACATACAACTGAGGCAAAGTTATTTGACAAAAATTAACAATAAAGTTGTAAAAAAGAAAGGTCACTTAAGGCCTATAAGCAAAATACCACCCACATGCGATCGATTGAAAAAAAAATTTTAAAGAAAATTATAATTTTAAAGAGTGAATAATCCGATCACAACTGCGATTTTCTTCACCTGACGCACGAAGAACGCAAATCTTCGCTTCTTTACGTTCAATGGATTTTTGATTTAAAGGAAATGACTTTGTTGTTGTAATTTTTTTGGTGGCGACAACTTCACTTTGTCGCGTGCTTGGAAAACCTTATAGAAACTTATGCGATTACTGCTCGATTGATACAAAACTCAAACTACTCCTCCATATATGCGAACATACAACACTTGTGCTTAGCACGAACTGGACAATTCACTTTTATAATGACGAAACACCGTCTTAACCTTCCTTTACCAAAACTTTTTAACTACCAAGACTGACTGTCTTGCACCAAAATGCTATCCAAAAAGCCCTGCTACGACTGTTCCCTTCTTTGCTCCATCTTTATCACTTTTTTTAACATTAGCCAATCAAATCCACTAGGAAAGACGACCGGAGTCCCTTTTCGT